GATGGGTTAGATACATCCAGTCTCAACTTTTGAGAGGCTCAGAGTATACTCAGTGAATTGGATAATGATACGCACACCCCTCTCTTTTTACCTGTGATTATGTTTCTTTCTTCCTCTCTCTCTCCCTCCTTCCTTCCTTCCTTCCCTCCTTCCTTCCTTCCCTCCCTCCTTCCCTCCTTCCTTCCTTCCTTCCCTCCTTCCTTCCCTCCTTCCTTCCTTCCCTCCCTCCTTCCTTCCTTCCTTCCTTCCTTCCTTCCTTCCTTCCTTCCTTCCTTCCTTCCGTCCTTTCTTCCTTCCTTCCTTCCTTCTTTCCTTCCTTCCTCTCTCTTTATAGAGGGAGAGAGAGAGAGAGAGAGGCCAACTTTTTACATTTGAGAGATTTCACATGAAATCTGAAGTTTATATTTTGTTTGAAACGTACCAGAAATCTGGTAATCTGCATGGCAGAAGTCAGATGGTATATATATAGAGTTTCTTACCTGCACTTAACTGCCCCCTCTCTCCTCTGGCAGCTGCAGAATTCTCTTTGCATCCCTTTGTTGGCAAGCAGTTTTGTACCATTCTTGATGTACTGCACTCTTACCACTGTCAATGTCAAGGACCCTAAAGTCTCTACTAAGGGATAGTGAACCTCACCTTGCTGGGTGGTTGGGTTCCTTACTTGCTCTGCTCAGCAAGTTGAGAAATGGAGCACACTCACATAGGATGTACATTTTTAAGACAAGAGTACCAAGTACATTATGGCCTAGCTTTCTGACTTGCGCATGAAGACCATGATGACTGTTTTCTATGAGGAAGGAATTTAACAGAAAATTGAGGAAGGTACAGATTCGGTTATGTTTGTTTGCTCTTTTTAAATTTTGTTTGGTTTTCACCACCCTGTAAGGCAGAGGTTGAATCCCAGCTCAGTGTGGTTAGAAGCTATTTGGTTTATCTCATAGTGGATTGTAGTGGTTCTTTTAAATTTGACTTAAATGCCAACTTTTTACATTTGAGAAATTTCACATGAAATCTGAAGTTTATATTTTGTTTGAAAAGTACCAGAAATCTGGTAATCTGCATGGCAGAAGCCAGCTGGTATCGGCTGCCTGTTGTCAGGACTATTTTTTTTTATTTTGCTGTCAGAGTCTTCATTTGCATCATCTTCATTATACCTGCAGACTTTTCAGATTCATCCTCTGTGGGCTGGGGATGGCTTGCACTCTAGTTGATAATCACCAGGAGAGTGAAGTTGATCCTAGAACCCATCTCCTCTGAGAAGTTTGTACTGGCCAGCTCATCTTTCTGCATAAAGCTGCTGAGGTTTGTTCTAGCTCACACAGAAACCCAGAGCCATCCAGAGGGACCATGAGTAAGCTAAAATGCCACCCATTTTCCCATTCAACTCCCTGTGGCCACAGGTGTTCTTCTAGTCTCATGGTCTGAAGTATCCCCTAGAGAGAGAATATGGTGCTGGCAAGATGAAAGTTTAAAAGAAGACATCGTTCCTGATACCATGGTAAAAATATCTGGAAGTTCTTTTCATATTTTTTCAGACAACTAATATTTATTAAGCCCCAACTCTATGCCAAATCCTGAACATGGAGGAGTGAATTAAAGGGATAAAAAAATCTCTCTCTCCTTTGTGTTTTACATTCTAGAGAGGGAGACAGGTTATTAACAACATTATATTAGATGACCTTAAAAATATAGAGGGACTACGTACAGTGTTGAAGGAGGTAAGAGAATAAGGCAGGAAGGGGAAAGGGATATATTGGGAGTGGAGGGGTTGCAATTTAGATGCAGTTGCTAGAGAAGGCCACACACAGAAAATGACATTTGAGTCAGACTGGAAGACAGTGAAGGGAAGTGGCATGCAGATGTCTGGGGGCAGAGCATGTGGAGAGCTGCAACCATTCAGGTCAGGGATGACAGCGAGTAGAACAGGCTGGGGGCATATTTTGTGATATACTTTGACAGTAGAACTGACAAGAGTTGTTGGTGGATGGAAGATGACATATGAGAAGAAGAAAGGAGCGAAGGATGACCTTAAGTTTTTGACTCAAGCAACTAAACGAATGGAGTTGCCATTAACTGGGCTGGGGAAAAGTACAGGAAAAGCAGGGAAGGCAGGGATAAATGTTAGTAGTATTTTGGGGATATCTTACATTTGTAATGACTGTTACACATCCATACGAATGTTGAGAAGGTAGTAAATTATGGCTACTTCAACTAAGCTACAACCTGAAGTCTATGCCTATTCAAATGTGCTATAAAAATTTGAAATAATAATTAAGTGTAACCTAATTCTCATACAATTAAGGAAAGAGATGATAAAAAAAAAGACCTTTTCAACAGTCAGGCAACTTGAAAGAAGGCCAATTTTAATAACCTTCAATTTAACATTAGCTTCTTTTATTATTAATGCAAATTTTAAAAATCATCATAAAAACCAAACAGTCATTAGAAATCACCTCAAGGCTAAGAGCTGGGAGAATAATTTTTTACTCTAATAGACCCAAAATAAATATTTAATGTGGATAATAGAGACACATAGAGAGTCAGTAGGGAATACTCATGCCTCATAAAGGAGGCATAAAGGTTTTTAAACCAAATTGAAACCTTTTATGATAAAAGTTCTTCGAATTTTTCTATGACTTTTTTGAAGTCAAAGGGCTTCCTAGAAATAATCTCATTAAGCTGTAGTGAGACTAGCCAGGGCACAATATTATTTTTAATTTCTAGAACTGGCTGTGGAGGAAGAGAGGACTCACAAGAAAGCCACTACGCTTTTGGTGACTAAATGGCTAAACTAGGTTTGGAGTGTGCATTTTTTTTTTTCATTTTAGGTAAGTTATTTTTATCTTAACTAAATTATTTTCTTTCTCTTCTACAATAAACTAACAAACAAATCCTTAGTTTGCTTTCCTTAGTGACTTCTAAAGAGAAAGAAAGAGCTCTAAAGAGTCACACACAAAAAGGTTTGTCACATGAAAGGAAATACCTGAGCTCTGGCCGAGCTCAGCTTAGTTTTCAGTGTCTGGGTGTCATGCTGTGGGCAGACTCAGACATTCTCTTCTGAAGGTGTATGTGACCAAAGTTTCAAATAACCAAAGCAAACCAATTTCTGTTGTCAAATTATAGCAAGATGTGACATAATATCAAGTGTGGCCAGAGATGGGATTTATCTGTACCTAATTTTCAGTATTTCCTTTAGAAATTATGCACACTCAAACACGAGAGTCATCCAATACATATTTATTGAGCTTTTGCTAAACAGATAACTGTGAAGCAATGGGCTTTGATAGAGGGAAGCCTAGTGTGTTCTAAGAATATTTCAGGGTTCTCTAGTTAGAATTTAGTGGAGAATGTCATTATAAATGACACCTGTGCCACATCTTACCTCCATGATCCCAGAGACAAGATACCTGCCCTACTATCCCCAGTTATTGCACAACAACCCAAGATGAGGACTCTTGTTGGCTAAGCTTGTGTCACATCCCCATTCCTTGGACCAACCACTGCCACCAGGGATGTGGGCTACTATGATTTGTTGGATCTAGGTCATGTGGCTGGAGGGGCACACACCATTATTGTCGACACTGTAGACTCACACAGAATTGGTAGTATGAGAGGGGACATCTCCAAAGGAGAGAGGGGGAGAGGTGAGGATATTATTAAGGGAAGGGATGCTGAGAAGACCACAGCAATAGACGGCACCTCACAATTGTCCATAAGCAGGACACCAAAGAGGGGGTCAGGTGTCAGGAATATTTTCTTGAAGGAGGTATTGTCTGACATGACTTCTTTAAATATGTGAGCTGAGTATTAAACAAAGAATAGGAATTCTCTAGGTGTTTATCTGCATTTATATGCAGACAAAGGAGAGGTTAGGGTGGTCCAAGTAGAGGGAACAGAGTGTTTAAAGATACAGAGGTGGGAAAAAAAGAAAGTGACCTACTCAGGGAACTAGGTGTGGTAGAATTGGAAGGTAAGGTGATCAGGCAGCAAGAAATGGAGAGCTTTGTGTATTATGGGGTGGGAAGTCATCTAACGAATGTAAATCAGCAAATATTTATTGAGCAATTTTCAGTGCTAGTACTCAATGTTCTATGTATCCTGTGCATGCTCTCCTAGGCATTTCACATGCATTGGCTCCTCTAATCCTCACACCAACCCTATGAGGTAAGCAATAGTGACTTAAAAATATTTCACAATTAACGTGGCATGGTCATGATTGGTTACCATTAATCCGAGTGGAATGGATGACAGCTATAAAGCACCACTGCTTAACACTGTTGATGAGTGCCAGGCTTGGATGCAGGTGCCCTTATAATCCTTGCTTTACGGGCAAGGAAGTTAAAGCACAAGGTTGTTAACTTGCCCAAGCACACACAGTAGATGGCAGAAGACTCAGGCTTCAAAACACAGGGTTCTGGCTCCACATCACTTGTCTGTAAAGGGAGAATATCTAATTCATTCTTTAGAAAAAGAATATGAGAGACTGTAAGTCTCCTGAAGACAGGGACTGTGTCTGTGTTTCTCGTTATATCCCAGCACTGTTTCTGACATATTGTAGCTATTCAAAAATATTTATTGAATGAATGACTAGAAAGCTTATTGCAGGTTTGAGAAGGGCAAATAAGACTGAAGCATTAAACCAGATGAGAAAACATTAAATGCTTGAAATATAAAACCAGTTGGAACTAAGGGGGCACCAACTGGGAGACATGAAAGAGGAGAGCATACATAGAACTTAGTGACTGTTTAGATGTGGGGACTGAGTCCCAGGTTTCTATTTGGTGTTGTCATTCACTGAAATGGGAAGTATAAGGAAAAGAAGAGTTTATTAGTGATAGTTAAGGTGAGAGTGGATAAGAGAAAATCATGAGCACCTTTTGCAGATGTAGAACTGGAGCATTTGCAGCTGCTTAGGAGGCAATTGGATTTGGAATCCAGAGAGAGACCAGCACTGGAAATGTGGATTCATAAGTAGTCAGATACAGGTGTAGGTTAAAGGCATGGGGATGGATGAGATCATTCAGAAAATAGGCTGGAGGATGGACTCCTGGGGCAGGTGAGAGAAGAGTCCAACCAGAGAAGGAGGATAAGTGACCAGCCACAGAGGAGAAAAACTCAGAATGTTGTCAGTAAAGTCAAAATCTGTAGGGGTATCAGTGTGTGTGGCTTCTGAGCAGCTAGGCTCTAAATGTAGAAAAGGTGGATAAATAATAAGTTGATCTGGTATTTGTGTTTTTCTGGGTAAGTGTGGCTGACCACAGACAAGTGACTTGAGGATCGTGATGAGAGATGTTGCATCACCTGAAGGCTTGGCAGGTAGAGCGGGGAGCAAGTGTAGAAAGGCCTTAAATAGGAGAAGATAGTCACAGATGGGAGGTCTCAAAAAACAAAGAGGGTATGGTGGACATTAAGGAGATGTAAAGAAAGTGTATTAGTCAGGGTTCTCAAAAAAAAAAAAAAACACCCAAAAAACCAAAAAACAGAAAACCAGAAACAGTAGGAATCTATCTATCTATCTATCTATCTATCTATCTATCTGTCTGTCATCTATCTATCATCTACCTAGAAGAATTGGCTCATGTAATTATGGAGGTGAACAAGCCCCAATATCTGCAGGGTGAGTCGGCAGACTGGAGACTCAGGATAGCCAATGGTTTAGTTCCAGTCTGAGTCAGATGGCCAAAAACCAGGAGGTGCTGATGATATAGTTCCAGTCCTAAGGCCAGCAGGTTAAAGGACCAGGAAGGGCAGATGTTGCAGTTTGAATCTGAAGGCAGAAGAATTTTCTTGCATTTAGGGAGGGTCAGCCTTTTTGTTTTATTCAGGCCCTCAGTTGATTTGACAAGGCCCATCCATATTAAGGAACACTATCCATATTAAGGAACACTATCTGCTTTACTCAGTCTGCTAATTTAAATGTTAATCTCATCCAAAATAAATAAATAAATAAATAAAACCTCAAAGAAAAACAGAATAATATTTGGCCAAATATCTGGGTGCCCTATGGCCCAGTCAAGTTGACATATAAAATTAATCACATAGGAAGTGATCTATTTATTTCAGATCCTCTGTAACTGCTCTGGTCTTTCCAACCTTGACCTTCTGGCTTCCGGATCCCACTTCAGCTCCTGCCTTTGGTCATGGGCTACAAAAATTGAACTGCTCACTAGAATTGTGGTGGGAAATTTCTGTGCAGATTGGGATTGTGACCTGGAAGCTGGGACTGACTTTTGACCCAGCTGTACAAAGAATGTTTTCTGGGAAGGAAGAACCTGCTATTAAGAGAGCTATCTGTAAGTGTTGCTGCAGTTATGTAATTTGTGCCCAGTACACAATCCCACAGGGAAAATCAAGGGTAAACTCATTCCTCAGAACACGTGAGGACCACAGGAAAGATTGCATCTTCGTTACTTTGTTTCCACCCTTTTGGTGAGACTGATGGAACAGGTAGCAGATGCTGGCTATGTGCAGGTGCAAACTGAATTGCCTGATATATATTCATGTGCTAGGGAGTACCTAGAGAATAGATTATCATTAGGCCTCTTATTTCCTGAGCAGAGCAGTGTGAATGGAAATAATGGAGATTCTAGTAAGTTTGTGGCTTCCGGGTAGTGAATGAATCATGAAATTTGTTTAGTGATTCTTGATACCTCAAAATGCAACAAGATTAGTAAGTAAGCTATTTCTTTTCAGGAGTTAATAAGATATTTAAAAAAGGCTACCTTCTCTGAGCCTCCAAGGACTGATTTTATAGAAGTGACTCTTGACAGAGACAGTTACAAATTGGACAACTTCTCTCCAAAAAGGCCTTGGGAGAGATATACAACATTATCCTTCTGGAATCTGTTTTCTTTCCTAATTTTGCTTCAGATTGTTGTATTCCTACCTATACCCACCACTAGGAGATGGTCCCCTCCTCTGTTTGAAATGCATGGAATTGTAAGTTCTTTGAATATTCTACAGTGCATTAATTCCAAAAAAACCTTCCAAGATATCCACTTATTTCTCTGCTTAACTCAGCTGTTATATGATTGGCTTGGATGTTTACCTTTTCATGTGTCCAGGATTGAATCCTGGCTCCACTTTTTGTATATAATGTATAATCTTGAAAAAGTTATATTAACTTCTATGGATGTCAGTTCTCTTATCATAAAATAGTGTAATAATAAAATTGACCTCCTGGTTACCATGGAAATTCAATAGGTTACTCTCCAAAACACTAATCTCAATAGATTTTAACTCTAATTCTTACATCGTTGTTCTGAATATCAAATTCTTTCAGGCTGTCTTTATAGGTATATACCGATCTATGTTCATTGACTCAGTAGCAATAGAATATTTCCCTGACTGAATCATGTTTGTTTTCTGTAGGTGACTGTTTTATATTTGAAAATGGAAACAGGAAAATCTTGTTTTTCATATGTTAATCATAGCAGATTAAATGAACTTCACTTGATTGGGTGCTTTTAAGAAAAATGAGGTGAGGGAAGAAATATTTGGGTGGTAAACCTCAGTTTCCAAGTCCCATTTCTCGGGTTTCAGCTGTGCAGGAAATCAGTGATTACGTTTCTGATCCTGATGACCTTTTTGTCACTGACTCATCTTAGATGATGCTGTAAGAGAACCGTGGCTCTGGGGAATGGGCCTATAATTTACTCTTGGATTCAGTAGTGTATGAGTTGGGATTCTTTGAGCACTAATGGCCCTAAAAAGTACAATTCCTAACTGCAAACTATTTAGTCTGTATTCAATTTGGAAACTTGGGAATGTTTAGATATTCAGCTGTTTTACAAACCAGTCTATTCATGTTCATGGAATGTCTGCTGAATGGTCTGATTTGGTTGAGATAATGTACAAGCTTATGCAACTCTTGTAGAGGTATTGAACAACAAAGCAGTAAATCATATGAGTTGGTCAACTCTGCTTTATATTTTCTAGAATTCTTCAAACATTTGTACTGGGGACACACAAATGAGTGTGATATCAACTCTTCCCTATGGGCTCAAGGGCAAATAGTATCTTTGTTAGAAAAATATGGTAGTTACAACCACCACTTACCCATCTATCCACCCACCCACTGATTCAATAAATAATCATAAAACATTTATGCAAATGAGGCACCAGCCTAAGTATAAGTGACTCAACAATGGAAAGATAGATGCTGCCATCCTCTTAGACATGTTAAAACTAGTATAAATTTATAGTACATTGTAATAAATGCTAGATAAGAAAACCACTTATAATACATTATGATACATTCAATATAGGTAAAGAGGATAGAGTAATACAGGTAAAATAGTCAATTCAGAAGTGATTTTTTTAGGGGGCCCTGCACTATAAGGATCTGAATCCCTGAGCAGAAAAGAAGTTTAATCAAAAGAGATAATTTAAGAGGTTTTTTTACCTTAGAAGTTTCTTTGATTATATGAATTTGTACAAAAGCAATTAGGGGCACAGAAAGAAATAGCAATAGAAATGTAGTTGATGTCCTAAGTGAAAGAAAGCCTGTATATTAGACATTGGACTTTGAGTAATTGCAGGCACAAACAGCTAAGAGTTCTCCATGATGAGCAAATTAGCACTGACAATAGGAAACAGCAGAAAAAAAAAACCCCAAACCCCCCAAAACAACAACCAAAAACAAATAACAAAAACAAAACAAAACCCAATACAAAACAAACCCCAAAATGAAACAAAACAACAAAATCCCTACCTAGATGATGAAAACACAACGAAGCAGATGCAGATTTGGGCTTAGACAAGGACAGGGCTTCTCTTTTGAGTGGACTTGGCCAAGGACTTCACCGATGTCCTAGAGAGAAGGGCATTTATATTTGCAATTATTTATATTATACTGAACCTATTTCTGTTTAGATAACTATAAGTAATTTGTATTCAATTCATTTAATCATAGGGGGTTGTATTTTCTTAAACATTGTCTCATTTTCCTCATCAGGTCCTGAGTTAAAAAAAAAAAACTTTTCCTTGTTATTGGGAAGTACTCAGTCATATGGAACCAGCCAACACTACTGTCCGAGCACCTCAAGCAGGCAGCTCTGTCAAAAGCCCTCATTCAGTTTTGGTAGAAGATCCTGAACACTGAGGATAAAGGATCTGTAAAACCAAGGGCACCTGTGGCTACTTGTGTATCAGAAATGCCCAAGGAGCCTGAAGATATAATGTGTCCCATCATGGGAGATTCTCATTTAGTAGGCCTCGGGGAAACAGCTAGGAATGTGTTTTTAAAAAGGCTTTTCAGTCCCTGGCTGGGTAGGTCAATTGGTTACAACATTGTCCTGGTAAGCCAGGGTTGTGGGTTTGATCTCCGGTTAGGGCACATACAGGAAGCTACCAATGAGTGCATAAATAAGTGGAACAACAAACTGATGTTTCTCTGTCTCTGTCTCTGTCTCTCAAATTAATAGTAATAATAATAATAATAATAATAATAATAATAGCCATCTCAATTGTTTCTGATGTACCTAGATAGCCATGGGGTTGCTCTTCAAAACCATTGTCTGGGGTTAACTGTATGATTTCTCATTTTTTTCCACTTTGTGGTGATCACAAATATTAACATTTAAAAACAGATTTACATCAACAGCAAGTTAAAATTCTAATATTCTTTCTGTATCCCACACTCTTTTCTTTCATCTCTTCCACATTTTTCATTGAATCCTAAAATCTGTAGATACATTGTCTAAACCCTGCTTTGAGATAAAAGAAGATAAATAACCAAACCATTTAGATAAATCCCTTACTTATTTAGCCCAATAAGTTTTACTGAAGAGTCTTGGTGTCAGGTAACAATTCACAAGTAAGAGTGCTTTGCAATGAATAAAACACGGATGACAAAGATGTAGGACAGAACATTTGGCAATCTGCTGAAATCAATACATTGTCCCGGTGGCTTTTTCAGACCTTGCTTTTCTGGCCTCTAGTGTGTTCTTATAGTGTTACGCCTCATCCTATGACTCAGGGCTAAGTTTCTATGGCCTGGCAACCTCATTTTGGCCCTTTGTTTTGGCAGTTGGTGGTGGCTTTCCTTCTTGGGTT